CATCATGATCGCCATCTTCGTCGGAGGGACAGGTGGGAACCCACACCACAGGGAACCACAGGGGGGGGATGGGGGATACCATGGGGTGGGGGGGGCGGGAGGGGGGGCCTAGAAGCGTTGCACCATATATATATATATATATATACACACACACACACACGTCTGCACATATGTGGAAGTAATCCCCGAAAGTGCCCCCCACTTCTCACGGTTCCCAGCCGCTACAGGCCAGCCAGGTAACCAAGCCTAACCGAGGGGCCCTAGTACTTAAAATGGGCCGTCGGGGTGTGTTATACTAGAGCCATAATCACAACAAGAAACCTTAAGGAATAATATTGGTTAGTATTCAGGCTTCCTGTACGTCTTTGTAAGACAGAGGTTTTTTTGTTTGACAGGGGTTCTGTAAGACAGGGTTTGCTGTAAGACAGGTTTCTGTCAGACAGTGGTTTCTGTTAGACAGGGGGTTCTGTTGGACAGAGCTTTCTTGGCTTGGTTTGGCTCGGCTTCAGTCGGCTTGGTTCTTCAGTCGGCTTGGTTCTTGGGGTTCCCAAGCCGAACCTAGTGGGGGGGGTGACTTAGACAGCGACATATACATGTGTGTGTGTCTGTGTGTGTATGTGTGTATATATATACGCGCATGTGAAGGTGGTTATTGGGTCCAAGTTTGTGTGTGCATACATACATATATATGTATGTACTATACACACACATACATACATGTATCTGTACACAGACATTGAATATGTTCTGGTGCAGCCTGAGTGCCGTCACCTGTACGTTTCGCTTTAAAGAATTATGAGAAGGTTTCTTTGTCCCTGAACAGCGGGGCTGCATTTATTTGCCGCTGGAACATGTGCCAGCCCATCTACTGGCAAAAGGCAAGAAAGAGGCTTTTTTTAAGCCTTGGCAAGTAAAGCGATACATTTCGTGTACGCTGCTAGAAGCCATCTTCTGCTTCTGCGAGAGGTATTAAGATCTCCTTCATCTCTTAGCGAGAGACAAGAACCCAAGGCAAGATCAGCAATTGATGTTTTTGTTATCCTGCCCATTTCTGTGGCATTAAGAGCTCCTCAATCCGCTAACAAGATACCAGGCTCCATAGCAAGATCAATGTTTTCTGTCTCTTAAACAAAGCGCGGAACTTCTTATGATCTCCTAAAATAAGACCCAGTGCTGCCGAAGCATTCAAGTTTGGCACATTGGCCTTGATCCACTAGCATGATTTGAGGCTCTGGACTCGTTTCCGTACACCCGACCTCCTGAACCCTTCTATCCGCGGAAGTGCAGGAAGAGCTGTCTTTCATCATGAAGACCACCACAAAGAAGCCAGATGGTGATCGCATGCCGCGCTACTAGTCAGGAAACATGTCGAGCCCGCCCCCGCCCAGAACTATTTATCATTGATCGAGTCAGTGAAACGAGCTGTCTATGATGACCGCTTTTGTGAACATACAACTGATTGCTTCCAGCTCCACTTTTCCCGGTTGTTCCTCGTGCCCTGCCTCCACGCCACAATATGTGTGCCGTCGACGATTCCCGCGGAGTACTTCAAAGTTGCGCAGACAGACAGGAGAACTCTGCCTTCGTCAAAAACAGTGAGACGACACTTTCCATGATTGTTCGTGATTCATCGCGACGTGTAAGCCCCGAAGTGGAGATTGTGGATAATTTGTTTCAGATCGGCTTTAGGCTTTCAGAATCAGCGATTTGGGCTGTGGAGTTCTAGTGGTGTCGAATGCACATGCATGCTTCGACGTGCCCTTAAAGCACAGGAACAGCGGCAGGACTTCCAGAGACAAGTTGCCGGGTGTTTAGCCGAGCCCAGACAAGGTCACAAACCGAGAGTGCAGGGGACCGGCTTGGGCAGACCTGCACATGCTTGCACGAAGCAGTATTCTGGTATTCTCTTTCTGGGACTTGACAAGCCTCTCATGGCTCGCAGAACTCCATCACTCTAGGCCCCTTGACAGCCCAGGCTCCAAATTGGCACAGGCGATGGAAAGCGCCTGGCCGCAAGAGATTTTCGGCAAGACTGGCCTAGAACAGACGAGCCCCCAACAGTTCATGCAGACTCAGCGCCGTTGCCTGCTAAATGGCACGGCAATCGAACTTGAACCGGCAACCTCGTACCCCCGGTCGGGACCTGCTAACCTATGAGCCCGAAATTTGTCATCTTTGATTGAAGAAGCCAGGTCCATGTAGTTCGCACACTCATTGCGTAACACTCAGGATTGCATACCCTCAACCCTCGTCTGACTCCTCAGACTATTTTGTCATGCATATTTAACGTTGATATGGTAGAGCAGAACTACCAAGACGTTTGTCGCAACATGAGCTGCTCAGGCTGGTCAGTATACCTTGCTGAATTCTGCGAGGATGGTGCGGCTGGTAAGGCCACGGCAGTAATGTTTCAATTTGGGGTTTCGTGGTTGTGTTGTTGCGTAATCATCGAAGTCCTGGTGATGTTCACAACAGGAGTAGAGTCTTGCCAGAATAAAGGAGCCAGACGGCGGTCGAACCCTCGCTGGACCACTTGACCTGCTTAACCCTCCAAAGCATGCCGAGAGTGGGCCCAAAGTGCCGATCCCCAAGCGGCAAAGACTTGCTGACAGTCGCTTCAGCAATGGGTCATAGTTGTTGGATTCTCACTGGCTGGAGTCTGGCTGAACATTGCGGCCGGAACAAAAGTACAAACAATTAGAACGGCTTCACGACATGCGGAAGAAATTTCAATGCCTCAAGTTAGGTATTCAGGTGTGACAGTGCCAATTACCCTTTGTGTTTCACCAGGTTCTCTTCGAGAAGTACGATGCTGACAGATCTGGAAAGCTCACTCCTGACGAGCTCAAGGCTTCGACGGAAATGGATGTTGCAGTATGTTGCGAAATATATTGGCAACACAATCACGTACAATGAGCCTACAGCGGGCCATAGTTTGCCGCATTGAGTGGCATCTAATACCACACGTACATCCACGCATCTATCAAAACATGCATACAGATAGACAGACAGCTAGACAGACATACAGGTCTACACGCATCGCATATACACATGAATGCACATATCATGTCACGCACATACATACCTACATGCATACATACATACATACATACGTACATTCATTTATGCATGCATACAGACTCAATTACCGTACGTACTTGCATCTGCAGACAGCCAGCCAGGCAGGCAGGCGGGCAGACAGACAGACAGACAGACCGACAGACAGACAGACAGACAGACAGACAGAGAGAGGCAGACAGAGACAGACGGACACAGACGGACACAGAACAGACAGAGACAGACACAGACAGACAGAGACGGACATAGACAGCAGCGACAGACAGAAACAGATAGATACAGACAGGGACAGATAGAGACAGACGAAGACAGACAGAGACAGAAAGAGACAGACAGAGACAGACAGAGACAGACATAGACAGACACGGACCGACAGAGACCGACATAGACAGGCAGAGAGACAGACAGACAGACAGACAGACAGACAGACAGACAGACAGACAGACAGACAGACAGACAGACAGACAGACAGACAGACACCCAGTCCCTCCGATTACCCAATATATCGGTAACCGTCTTGGCACCCACCACAGTAGGAACCAACAAGAATGATGGGAACCGATACCTTGAAAGGCCTGATTTGATTATGAACAGAAGCATTCTATTCCAAAAACACATGACATCCTGCTGTTGACAACACATGTGGGCTTGGAATTAGCATCTTTGTTGGTGCTTCGGCAGACCCTTGCGGAAGCGTACTGTGATGCTTAGGGAATGATTGGTGTGACCATGCGATCAATGTGTCATATTATGCATGTCATGGGGGCATGCTTGTGTATGTGTAGACAGACATGCATAGATCGGCATGCGCCGGGCAACATTTTTGACGAAGAAGCACATCGTTCTTAATGGTGCCCCCTCCGCTCTGCTTCTGACTGTCTGTCGTGCTGCATTCTTGTGCGGACATGTGTATGCCAGGGGGATATGTGTTGAGCGGCAGGCATCGGGCCCAGGGTTAGCTGCCTTCGAAGTGGTTGGGCCATGGCTTCTACAGAGCCTTCTGGTGAACCGGAGCCACAAGCTCCGGATGCTGAGATACATAGCTGCATAAGCCAGTGTTGGGTTCAGGATCAGCTGTTGCCAGCTAAGGCTAGAGTACCTGAAGGGTGTGCTCATGAATTTGATGGCAGAGCCGGTACCCGAAGATCCAGAAAACCGAACCCTTGGCACCAGGTATGAGTGGGTATATATATATATATATATGTGTGTGGGTGTGTGTGTGTGGGGGGGTGGGGGGGTGGGCGTGTCTATGTGTGCTTGTGCGCTGGCCAGGAGCATCTGCTCATGAAGCCATACCACTTCATGTGTGACGCTGCAGTGGAAGAGGCGTTTGTGCCAATTTCCCAGTTGGTGATTCACTTCGGCAACAAGATTCCCTCGATTGGGAAGTTCCGCGCACTTGGGATCATTATTGTGAGTGTTACTTGACACGCATATATACAATGACTAAGCTTGTATGCTAGTGCAGCGAAGGAAGGCTTCAAGTTCATCAATGTGGAGCCTGGGATATGGCCCGGCAAGGAGAAGAAGCAAGTAGTGCAGGACTGGTTTTGTCAATGTTACAATCATGTTATGCGTCATGACAGATATAGTTGCACGGTCGACATGTTCAGGAATGGGCCGATTTGGGTGCTGGATGCCTCCGAATGCGAACCTGCTACGCAGTGAGACTGTGGCGAAAAACGCCGCATCGATCCAGGATACTTAGGGTGGTGCGTGGGGTTTAGAAGTTGTAGTTCGATTGGAATAGCTGTATGTGTGCAAGAGTGTGAAGATTCAGATGTTGAAAGACTTGCTCACGCATGTTTGTGACCAGCCTGCGGGTCCGAGCACCAGTGCGCCTGCGGATGGGAGCCCGGAGGATGAAGCAAGTGCTTTTGAGGGCGGGGAGGGTCCTGAGGGTGCTGCCAGCTCGGAGACTCATCTGATGTTTCCGGACAACCTGGATACGCAGATTGCTGTGGACATGGCGGATGCGGCCTACGAGGAAGAGGCAAGACTATCGGATGCTACGACATTGCTGCTTGATGGAATGCCTCTGCGTGACGGAGAACTCGAGGAGGCCTTGGAGGACACATTGAACCTCTTCATGTCATGTGCAGGCTCCTGTACGAAATTGGAATCATGGCGTAGAGTTTCCTTGTGTGTGATTTCACCGGTTGCTGCATGGCAGGAGTCTGGAGAAGCTGGAGAACAGCCGGATAACACAGTCGAGGAGCGATGTTATGTTCATGCATGGGTCAAATTGTTGTGTGATGCTGGAGGACTGCGAAGAGCCCATGGAGGAAGCGGCTGAGGACACGTGCTCCTCCAAACACACACACACACACATGCACACACACACACACACACACATGCACCTAAGCACATGGACCCCCTCTGCCTCCCCCATCCCTTCACCCCACCCCACCTTATGATACTGTACCTTGCGGCCGTTGTAGGACTCTACATTTGCAGAAGCACCTGCCAACGAGGCAACCGAGGAGTGATATTGCAGCTAGGGATTGCGCAGGGTCGTTATTGGCATATGTTGTCGGCAGGAAGTTGCTGAACCACCCACAAACGAGGCAGCTCATGGCATAGCTAGCTCTTAGTAGGATTATGGTGTCACATATTTCTTGGCAGGGCTCTGGAAAAGTTCATGCAGACAGGCAGCAGCACAGGAGAAGTATAGATTTCTCTGTTGTCATGGCTGGGGAACTGTGGCTGGGATGTATATATTTTCCTTGCGAGGAATCCCGAGAAGAAGCTGTTGTGCCCTCAACCATGGCAGAGCAGGACGAGCAGGACGTTTAAGTTACATTGCGAGAAGAAAGCGGAGAAAAAATGCCCGGGCAAATTCGTGCGCAAGCACCCGGACTTTCCGAACGAAGAAAGCATGTGGTCGTACCGCTGCTTCTTGAGTATGAATGAGATCAAGGAGCGGGAGCGCGAGCACTCGGCTTCCTTGAAAAACGAAGCCCCCGTCGATGCGGAGGATGCACTGGACGCTGTGTGATGAGGTTGCATTATGATATATAGATATATATGTATATATGTGTATATATATTTACATGTATATGTATATGTATATGTATATATATATATATGTGTATATATATATATACATATGTATAAGTATACTACATATGTGGATATATATATATATATGTAACATACCTATATATGCGAAGTTTCGTATGTCAGTATATAATCATCTTGGTGTTTTAGTAAGGTCAGCTAGTTCTTCCTAAACCCGAAGCCCCACAAGCCAAAAGCTCCAACAAGCTGTTAACTGT